GTTAATAACAATCAGTTATTTAATGAAAATGAAACGTTAAATTTAAGTATTAAACGTGGAAAGAGTTTCCTGCCTTTCAATCTACATAAGTTAGTCGTTTATACTCAGTAATTATAACTTCAGAGGCTTAATTTTTTTTAATTTATTTTTTTTGTAGGAATTAAATGAAAACTTGGCCGTATCTAATTTGTTTTACCACCAACGCTTTTTTAGTGTCCGCTACAATTTTTAACAAAATTTCATATTAAAATTACGAAATTCAACATTTGAAAATGCGTTCGACCAACCAATTTTAAATACTCAAAAAGTTACGTAATAACGAATCGTTAAAAGAAATCAAATTTTCAACCGTTTAAAAATAAAGGTTTATTTAAATGCAAATGCACGTCACCTATCTGATAGACTCATTTCTTATATAATGTTTTGATTTACATATCAAAATTACATTTAAGAGTTTAAGAGCAGATTATAATTGGATTTGGGTAATATCCAACAAAATTTTTTACCCTTGGAGATAATTGCCGGCTAACAGAACAATTACTATTAACAGTCTCTAGGATTGGACGGACAACCCAAGCATGTAGATACATTTGCATATTATCATCACGGTGTACTTATTTCTACAACTGAGATTGTAGTATGTAAGATTGTAAGATAAATGAAACCTGCACTCAACCCAGGTCAGCCCTGCTTATTATTTTCTTCTCAACCATCTTCAGCGAACGTGAAAGGCGTATTAAATTTGTTCTGGCTGAAAGAATATCTTAATTTTTTTCACATGTCATTTTGCAGAATGAATTATTTCTTGCTATTCTGATAAATTACCGACGCCATGAAAAACCCGATTCTGAAATATTTGCCCGACGTAGGTTCAAGTTTTCGTAACAGACATTCACAACGTGGAGAGCGATTAGTTGGTAGTTGAGTTTAAGTATATACAAATTCTATCTACCTAATCTCATTAAACAAGTTGTTTGGCTACTTTCGTTCATATATATATATATATATATATATATATATATATATATATATATATATATATATATTCGTTATCGCAATTAAGGTTTTCATGTTTTAATTTCCTGTGCGATGTTTCATTCATTAAACAAGAGTCGTACTTTGAAAATGTTTTTATTTCCTGGAAAAATGCATTCTTCAAATATAAGATGCCAAACAACTATCATGACACACGGAGGATATTCATTCATGTAATGTACTTTTCATACATAAACACTGATAAACTGCCTCATTGATCTACAAACAGCACACAGTTTTTCAAAAACACGCCAGACAGCTCTTCAATCACACGGCTGCATCTCTACATCAACATCCATCTATTCTTCACCACAACATGTAACTGGCGCTTACATGGATCTGAAACTCTTCATAGTTATTGTTACTCAAGATGCAAGCACAGAATGTATCTACATAGTAACAAATATAATCTGTCAGTGTTTTTATGTCTTTTACAGTAAAGATAATTTATTCGATATACCTTGTAAACCGATACAATTTTTAATTAATCATAAAAATTAAAACTCTAACAGTACAAATTTTAAAATTTTGTCAAAGAAATATTATTTATTACCGATTTAACGATTTTCACATTATAAATGTTGTTAAACAGTTTTAAATATTATTTCATGAAAAGTTGATTAGAGCAGTCGATATAAATGATAACGAGATAATAGTAATCAATATTTGCTGGACAAAAAAAATGTTTCAAAAATACGCACATGCACGTACATAGAGAAAACCTCAATCATACAACAGTAAACAGTTATTTTCTATCTACCAGTATGATATCCATCCATGGATACGCTTCTGCTGGTTCGCAACACTTTACTACTAATTTTAATTAAAGTTTAACGTACAAATATTTATAACGACCATGAATATATACTATGCTATTTCCAATTTTATTGTAGCCAAACGTATTTTATCTTATGTGCACTGTGCAGTGTGGATGAAGGAAGGGTATTTCTATGCATTATCTGATTAAATTCACGTACGCATGTTCTGCCTCAATTTTAATAGGGCACGTGTTACTAAATTCCAGAGATACACGTTCATGAGGTTGTTGATGCTGGTAGGAACTAACGAAGAAAATAATTAGTTTAAATAATTAGTTTGATGGTTTCAAATTAAATAAATACACTGAGTAAAAAACAATTGTCTTAACTTTACGTTCAGCTTGTCTGCATTAAAAATAGTTGGAAAAAACTTTATTGAATTTTTTGCTAAGTAATTTTAATTAAATTTTGTTGTATGAAAATGGACCAAACTTTGAATCTAATTTTGTGCTGTTACTTTTATTAAAAAAATTAATTGTACCCACGTGCAAAGATGCAGAAGTTCATCCGAACCTTGCAAAGTAGCACAGCGGTCAGGATGGATTTATTAGCTTTCTCAGCAGACGAGAATAAAGAAATTAATTTTCTTGCAACATCTCAGTAAATGTTTGTGAAATTAGCTTTGAAAATCTTTTGCGAATAATTAATACTGTGTGAACATTTGCCTTGGAAAACTTTTCCTGTTTACCTTATAAATGCAAAAGCCACTCAATTTAAATGAAAAAAAATAAATTTTTGTTAACAAATATTTTCAAATCAATCCATAATATATAATTTCAACATTTTGGAAATAGTTAAATGTCAATGCACTTTATAACTGAAATGGATTGAAATTTTTGTAAATAACCCCATTGAGATCAAGAAAGACAACGCGAAAATATTAAAACATAAATAACACGGTATCTCAGTACCCAAAATATACCACAGCGCAATACAAACTACGTTCTCTTTCCCTTATTCTGAAAAAACTTCAGATAAAAGAATAAAAATCATTTTTTCTATTATAAATTTTAAATAGTTGGTCGTCACAAGTTAGTTATAAGTTAGGTTTTATTTGACAAGATTGGTCTAAAACATGAAAGATAACACTAGTTTACGTCAATTTTGCTGACTGCGATATAACATGTGATCTTTATGTATTTCGGTGTGCCGTAACAGTAACGTATTTTCAAATGTATACGTTATTAACGTTTAAAGAATGCTCTTAGTTTTAAACGTCTTACTAACAATTACGATTTTTATTCATCTTATTTCTATCTTTACAAAAATAAATTTCAATTCCGAAGGAGACATGCTAATGTCCAGTCACTACTTGTTAGACAATGCAGCGTGTGGTAGCACTACGCATCACTTTGCACAATGTATTCAAACTTGAATGAGCTTTTTAATCAATTTTAAAAGGTAGCTTCAACTTAATTAAACAAGTGTGAGTCAAACAGTCAAACTTACAAAAAAAATGAATCTACATGTCGGAAGGCGGGCGACATTTTCTAATTGTTGGTTCTGAAAAACACGTAAATTAGGCTTTTCGGTTGATTAAGTGGCTGGTCTCCTTAAGCAGTGGCGCCAATAAACGATTTCTGCCATTTGGTCAATGGCAGAGAGGTTTCTGTCAATGAAGAAACTTTTTTAACAGCTTCAACTTTTAATTTGTTTTCATTTATTATTGAAACTGAAGCACCTCCTTGAATTTTGATGGAGCTTATTTGTTTCATTTCTGAAACTTTTTAAATGGCCACATAAACTCTTGTCGTCTTCGGTTGTTCAAACTTTTAAATTTTTTTTCTAACTTTTTTAACTATCTTTTAAAATAATTGCGCATACGCACAACAGCACAATAGCACACACATTCGCTTATGTGCATGTAAAACTAATTTTAAAATATTTAGATGTCTAATGTTCTGTACGCACTTTTATGAATTTAGTTTCACCTTTACGAGTCTTACGTTCACAGATTAATATAACTTAATGTATACACAACGATATATATTTACATGTATGCACACATATGCATACGCTCACACACACATGCACAAACATAAAAATACATATATAAAATTAAAATATATGTACACCATATATATGTATGCAGTGTCATTATGTATTCAGCATCATAGCCTGTAGAGGAATAACTATTAATATATTTAAAATTAATATGTTCAAGATGTTTACGAACAAATGTTTAGAACAAATAGAAAGCTTCAGCTTCAAATGAAAGTTACTGTTAAACAATAGATTAAGAAACTGGAACATTACAAACGCATTTAATCTATAAATTAAAATATATATATTTATTATATATATAAATTATATATAATATATATATATATGTAATATATATAATTATATATATAATATATGTAAAATATATATATATATATTTGATAGTTTTTAATTACATTTCTCAATATTTCTAACCAAAATCTTGTCGTTATTATTTATTTTATTAACGTGAGAAAAATAAAAAATTTTCCAATTCATTCTTGAGCGTCCAGGACCGTCAATCATCAATCATCTTCAGCACTTGTTGCAGTTTATATAGAGAATTTGTATAACCCAGTCAGTACTTGTTGCAGTTATACAGATTCCCTATATAAACTTTGATGAGATGAATAATGACCACAAGAATTCAGTTAAAAATATTGAGAAATGTAATAAGAAACTATCCAACTCTAGAAATTTGGTAGATTTCATAAATTACTGCACCAATTATGCTCATTTACTAGCATACATATATTCTTATACTGTTATTTTATATTGAACTATGTATACTATACATTGACTTACACAAGCATTTAAAATTACTCACACGACAACTTCATTCCTCATTTTTTCATCAGCATTTGTTGCAACAAGTATATCAGACGATGGTTTCAAACGGTCGGCATCGTTTTCAATGTTTCTTTCTATCGCAATCTCCCCATCGGCTTCTTCATTAATGGGATCAACTTCCGGTCTAACCTGCACGCCGTCTTCACAGACGTCCTTACTGTTGACTCTCTTCAAGCTGGTCTTCAAGTTGTTCATCTCCTTCAGGTCCTTCCTCCTCCTTCCACTGACTGACTCGCCGGGAGCAGCGCTGATGTGGGTCACTCCATTCTTCACGTAGTTCTTCCTCATTGTAGGGCAGCAACAAAAACAGCGACCGAGAGCCTGACGGAAAGCTTCTCGGAAGTCACGCGATGTGTGGTTGTAGATGATTGGATTGACGCAAGAGTTGCAGTAAGCTAGGGCTTGGAACAAGATGCTCAGCACGTTATAGCATGGATTCTCTGGGAAGCCGTAGATGGAGGAGTACAAGAGATGCAGTTGAACGGGTAGCCAGAGGAGGGCGAACATAACAACCACCAGGATGAGCAGACGACTTGCTTGGCGTTTCTTTATGCCAGACCTAATTTAGTAAAGTGTGTTGTGTATGTTTATTGTCTGTGTGTTTGTGTGTGTTTGTGTGTGTGTGTTATATGCATGTTACTAATGTTTTCAAGTTTTCAATAAGAACGAATCTCAAAATATGTATAAAAATTTTTGTAAAATGAAATTCAATCCAGTAGATTGTGAATTCAGTTTAAATGAATTTGAAATTTTTTCGGAAATATGAAAAAAGAGCGCATAAGTCTGAATGAAAGTTAGCAGGATAGGAGTAAATATTTCATGGCTATAAACAAAAAATGTTTTTTGAAACACAACTCAATATGAAATTCATTTAGGTCTAATTTTTCCTGTTAATAATTTAAAACATGGTTTGATTATTTTTAACTTTAAAAACTATTATTTGATTATTTTTAACTATGAAAACTTTGAAAGCGGTTTATAAATGATAAATAATTTGTTATTTGGAAATATTTGAAACAACAAAAATAGTTTTTACAAGGAAATCATTAATTTTTAAAAATGTAAAAATTTTTGTAAAATAAATTAAACAAGAAACTGTTCAATAGGTTATGGAACATTGTATTTTACATTTACATTCATTACCTCCACACAGAACATCAGACCAACATGCGACTTATTTGTAACTGATTGATTCCATAAATTAACACAAAGACTTGTTCATCATTTCATGGAGTTATAACAATGGAAAATCTTCCATTAAGATTGATAACAAAACATTTGTTTGAAAACGGTTTGATTTTATGAAAATTATTTTTACGAGAAGTAGCAAAACTTGGAAAATTTGATTATTTGAAGGTGTTTAAATCTACTTTAATTTGAAGCAAATATCATTAGTTCATTATAATTATAGTTTTTATAACAGTTATTCGTTTAATGTAGTATAAAGATTAGAAAGATTAATGAACAAGTCACTGAAGATAATGAAACCGAAAGACGCTGATATACAAAATGATCGTTATCTCAGTTTAAAATGGATATTTCTACCTGACGTGATTCACGACAATCAAATTATCTCATAATGATGACAATTATTTAACTGCTGAGTTTTAAAATAAAAATTTTGAAACCTTTTTGGACAACTTTTTTTTATTTAATAGACATTTGAAATTTTGAAACCTTTCTGAATATTTGTAAAAATTGAAAATTTTTAAGAGCAGTGCATACGTGGAATTAATGATGAAGTCCTGAGAGCACATGAAAGAAAGCAAAATGATTTTTCTAGGTTTCGAACCTCTTACGCATAACAGAATGATAATTTTTTGTCATTAACTCTGATGACATCTTGTTAACTGAGCAATGTTAGGCACACTCTTCATTTTTAATCATCATTTTTCATCTTATTAGATTATCACTGATGTCGTCATAAGCTTTTTTCAACCGTATGTAATAGACGACTTTAATTGATGGCAACGAATTTTTACATTTTAATCTCATCTTCACGCATCGACGAAGAGAGGGGCCAGCCAGTTCTTCACTCCCCGTTCCTGACTGTGATGATTCATGAAGGTACTGTTGCGCATATTATTATTATCTGATGTGGAGAACTGCATAAATTAACAATATCTGCAGCGAAAGTTGCATATTTTTGCAACAGGAGTTAATTGTTGTAATCGTGACCCTAGAAGCTCCGACTGCTTGTTTGTTAGTAACGGTAATATTCTTTTTCGCTGGAACGCGATGTGATAGAACAAAACTATTTACAGATTTGAAATCAGCGTAAAAAGAAGCCATATAAAAACATTTAATATTTTATGGGGGAAGAACCATGTATGTCAGTATTATTAAATTTTACATCATTGTACTTCGTTAACAATAATGTTAATCGGAGCCTCTGGAAGGTTTTTATTACCTTTTTGAGAATAAATCAATATTACAGGTTATCACTACAGCATATTATGTTTTTGAAAAATGATTTTATTTTCATATGATACCGCATGCTTCCTCATTTGATTGTGTGTATGTGTGTGTGGTGTGTGTGTGTGTGCGTATCTATGTGATGTGTCTGTGTGTGCGTGTGTGTGTATCTATGTGATGTGTGTGTGTGTGTGTGCATGTGTGTATCTATGTGATGTGTGTGAGTGTGTGTGCGTATCTATGTAATGTGTCTGTGTGTGTGTGTGCGCGTGTGTGTAAAGACGATGTATGTATGTGTAGGTACGCGTGAATTGTTTAGAAAGAATAAAAAAAAGGTACTAATGAAACGATCAATAGGTAGAATGAATATAATAATCCGACCTGGTCTTGCGATGGTTTGCCAGCATGGGGCCACACGTTGGCTTGTTCTTTTCAATGTGACGCAGAATCCCAACTGACAACAAGCCTTTTGAGGTTGTGTGTTGACGCGGTGGGTTGATAATGATGATGATGTGGTTGTGAGGTGAGGTGATAATGTGGCTATGTGGTGTTGTGACGATTGGCTGATGATATTATGGTGTGGAGGTAAAATGATGTGAGTGTGTAGTAACGTGATTGTGTGGTGATGTGATGTGGTTGTTGTTGATGATGACGAGTATTCTACTATGTGAGAAGGTGGTAGAGTAGTAATATGATGAAATGGTTATGTCAGTTAGATAAAACACGTTACATGTGATAATGTGATAAGAGCAACAGCTCGGTTATTTATTTTAGTTCAGTTTATCTGAGTGGAAGACGAGGACTTGATCACAAAATAAGTGATTACTTTGAATTAGATGATAATGACGATGATAGGGACGTTGACTCAGATGCTGATTTAAATGATGATCGTAATTATGGCGAAAATGGTGAATGTGACGAAGATGCAAATTGTTGGAGTTTGATGTGACTACGTTCGTGAAGATGGCGTGGTAGATGTCTTGTCAATTGAATAAACGCGGTACTCACTAGGCAGGTGGCAGTTTGAAATTAGTTATATTCATGAAAATAAAAATATTCACTTTAAGGTTAAAATTCCGCATATTAATTTTCAATTAAGATTGTAATAAATGTTTTTAATGTTTGCTTGTTTATCAAAAGTTATTACCAACAAAAGAAGAATGATCATGTAATCTATCAATTAATTAAACAATTTCTCATTTCAATCAATCAATCAATCAATCAATCATTCAGTCAGTCAGTCAGTCAGTCAGTCAGTCAGTCAGTCAGTCAATCAAACAATCAATCAATCAATCAATCAATCAATCAATCAATCAATCAATCAATCAATCAATCAATCAATCAATCAATCAATCAATCAATCAATCAATCAATCAATCAATCAATCAATCAATCAATCAATCAATCAATCAATCAATCAATCAATCAATCAATCAATCAATCAATCAATCAATCAATCAATCATTCATTCATTCAGTCAGTCAGTCAATCAAACAATCAATCAATCAATCAATCAACCAATCAGTTGAAAATTATTAAAGGACCACCAACCTATGCAAACAAGTGGCAGAACATACGCGAAAACAAAGAAGGTGATGAAGATATGTTTGCCGGCTTGTTCGTCTTCGTAATCACATTCCAGCACATTCTCCTTGTACAACGCGTCGTACCTATGAGAATGATGATGGTGATGAAGATGATGTCGATGGTGGAAATGGTGATGATAGGGGAGTTGGCAATGATGATGGTGATGATGGTGGTGGTTAAGTGAGTAGATTAGTAAATATTTTAATTGTGTGAAAAATTTTTCGGTAAGAGAATTATGATGATGATGATGATGGTGATGATTATATTGATGACGACAGTCTTGATGATGATGATGATAATAAAAACCATCGCTATAATATCCAGAGCCATGCAATGAATAATTTAGTTACATGACTAAAAATATCTACAAAGACTTCCATTGCACCGTGTCAAAGAATTCCAAATTTTGTCGGTGAATATAATATTTAAATTAGTATTATTATTTTAAAAAATAATATTGAATAATAATAATTATTATTATTATTAAAAATAATATTAACAATAAAAAATTTAATTTAAATGCAAATTGGATCTGACTGATAACGAAACGATGAGAAAAGAAAAATAAATAAAAGTAGACACAGAATGCATAAAAATTAATAACGAAAGTAAACCAAACTTCCTCGAATGAGTAATTCACTGAACCAAATGATTGATAACTTAATAAATAGAAGGGATAGTGAGGGAGGTGTGATCAGGCAGTCGGTGTCGCTTGCAGAGGAGCGCCAAAGTAACCACTTCATTGTTTTTGGAAAATTTTCATTTCCAAAAAAACATACTGCTGAAAAATTTCACTCGTTTTCACGAATCGGTTAGACGCCGTGAAATACCCTGAGGACTGGCGAACGATGTTGGTGTTTAAGATTTCAAAAGGAGATGAAGTTTCTAGAGTTATGAAGGGAGTTCTAGATCTCATGCAGCAAGAAATAAGATTCGAGAGTTACGAAGTTACGTGGTTCGACTCTAAGTTTGTTCTTTATTGGATGTGGGAATAATATAGAAACGAGATGAAAATAAAAAATGTCTTGAAAAGAGTTTCACACACAAACTTGGGTAGGTTTAATGATAGAATTTTTTACGGGACAGAACTCACGTAGAGATATGTGACTTCAAAATGTTACTCCGCAGTAGAAAAGAAATGAAACCCAAAATGTCAACAGACCTTCTGCCCTCCTTATCTCTTATGGAAAAAACGTATTTCCAAATGTGAGAATAGGCACTGCAAATAAATACTACTCCTTACTATCAATGGCGAGTTGCGGGCAACCGTTCAGCAAGTTGTAACTAATTTCTACCTATCAAAGATCAACAATGGGTCATAGCCGCCTGAATGCTTTGTAGTTTCAGGCGTGGAAAGAGAACGATTAGAAGTTATTAATTTTAATGAAGGAATTAATGTGCCAGCATTGTCGAAGGCAAGAAAAATGCCCCATAATACGTATTTAACTGCAACGTTTGCATTGATTTGTGATAAATTAATATGAAAAAATATTTTGATTTTTAAAAAATATTTGTATGTTTGCATTTATACGTATTATTTTATTAGATATAATATTTATATTTATTTGTATCTATGTATGTATCATGTATGTATGTGTGTGTGTATATGTGTGTGTGTGTTTGTGTGCGTATGTGTCCGTGTGTGTGTGTTAATAAGTAGAAGTAGGGAGTGCTTCTTAATAATGTGTAATTTTCAGTAATTTTGTACATAGGCAACTTACTGAAGGAATAACTTGTTGAATAATAAATTAGTGAATGAATGAGTAATTAACTGGATGAGTGACTGATTAGATGGATAATTAACTGGATGAATGACTGATTAGATGGATAATTAACTGGATGAATGACTGATTAGATGGATAATTAACTGGATGAATGACTGATTAGATGGATAATTAACTGGATGAGTGACTGATTAGATGGATAATTAACTGGATGAATGACTGATTAGATGGATAATTAACTGGATGAGTGACTGATTAGATGGATAATTAACTGGATGAGTGACTGATTAGATGGATAATTAACTGGATGAATGACTGATTAGATGGATAATTAACTGGATGAGTGACTGATTAGATGGATAATTAACTGGATGAATGACTGATTAGATGGATAATTAACTGGATGAATGACTGATTAGATGGATAATTAACTGGATGAGTGACTGATTAGATGGATAATTAACTGGATGAATGACTGATTAGATGGATAATTAACTGGATGAGTGACTGATTAGATGGATAATTAACTGGATAAGTGACTGATTAGATGGATAATTAACTGGATGAGTAACTGATTAGATGGATAATTAACTGGATGAGTGACTGATTAGATGGATAATTAACTGGATGAGTGACTGATTAGATGGATAATTAACTGGATGAGTAACTGATTAGATGATTAACTAACTGGATGAGTATGGGAATGTTGAGGATGAGCCAAAGCAGCCACATACCAAACAGCAACCCAACCACGATCCTCCTCGTCTTCCAGGCTGTTGTGTTCAGACCTCGGACAACAGTTAGAAATCTTCAAAAAATATACCAGTGATGATGATGATGATGGGGAAGATGATGATACTGATGATGATGATGATGACGACGGCGGTAATGATGATTATGATAACGGAGAAGATGATGGTGATGACGTCAGTTAATAACAAATAATCTGAGAAATAATTGTTAACGTTAACTTGGTTCCGGGAACTTTTTAAATAGAATATCAATTTATTGTCATCATCTGATCGTCTGCCTTCTCTCTCTCTCTCTCTCTCTCTCTTTTTTTTTTTCTTTCTCTCTCTCTCTCTTTTTCTTTTTTTTTCTCTCTCTCTCTCTTTTTCTTTCTCTCTCTCTCTCTCTCTCTCTCTCTATCATGTCAGAGCAATAAAAATTGAAATATAGCTCGGGCGCCTATGTAATTTGCAACCATCCCTGCCTGCTCCACTTGGCTAATTCATTCCAGCATTTCGTCAGATTTCATTGTTCCCCATTAATGTATACAAATATTCATAGAAGGTAATGATTTTATCCTTCATATATTTGATGATAGATAACTCGAGATGATTTTAATTTTTTTTTTATTTAATTAATTTTTATATAATTTAACTAATTAATATTTTTCATCAAGTGCACTTCAATTACTTATTCAAAATTGAAAAAAAATTAATTATGATGAACATGAAAAATTTAACGAAACATTTTTACATACGTTTGTTAGATGGACTCGCTCACACACACACACACACACACACACACACACACACACACACACACACACACACACACACACACACACACACACATTTGTATACACGCACGTACAAATACAGGCGCTTGCACACACGCGCGCACTCGAGCACATCTTCATTTTTCTCAATCGAGAAGTAATAACAGAATCAACAATTTCAAATTCGGTAAAATTGCGTTAAGCGAACTCATTCGAACGATCAGAACGGATGAACGGGCAACTAAAACATACCTTCTAATTTTCATATAATACAACAAACATAAACATATACAAAGAAACTTCACAGCAGCACACAAAACATGATCACATAGAGATACAAATAAACAAAACAACGACAGACACACACACAACACACAGACACATACACACACGTACAGACACACATATTCTACCTGATGACGCTGATGAGCACGAGTGTGTAGACGGTGACGTAAGCAGTGACGTTGACGAGGTAGTGCATCATCTTGCAGGCCACACTTCCGAACGGCCAGTTGGCCATGGTGAGATAGTAAGAAGTGGAAGGGGGCACCACCAGGGCGAAGCTGAGGTCAGCGATGGCCAGGTTGAGTAGGAGCAAATTTATCACCGTCCTCATCTTTGGGTTCGATGATATGACGTAGATGACCAAACTGTTTCCTGGTTGGTTGGTTTGTTGGTTGGTGGGTTGGTTGGATGGTGGATTGGTTGGTTTGCTGGTTGGATGGTTGGATGGTTGGATGGTTGGTTGGTTGGTTGGTTGGTTAGTTGGTTGGTTGGTTGGTTGGTTTTTTGGTTGGTTGGTGTGTGCGGCCGGGAATGTATTTTATAGTTGTTAACAACATCATGTCTAATTATGTCATTGTTAGCAATGATTCACTCAAAAAATATTTTCTGTGGTTACTTAATTCACCGTTATAAAACTCAAATTGATTAAAGAGCGCGATTTATAGAAAATGGCTGTCACGATTTTAAATGAATAACTCTTTTATTAAAGAAAAATATTTTATAAAATAGAATATGTTTACTTGATTTTTTAAAATTATTTAAAAAATTGTTTGCGTGATACATGAAGTAAGAACGAAGATTAACAGGGAGACCATAGTTACATGCACCTGCTACCAAATATCTGCTGTTTCAATTGTTTTTGAAATTCTACAAAACATTTGAACAGCAAAATCAGGCTTACTTTAATATTGCCTACAAAAAATTTAACAGAAAATTAATAGCTTAATTAATCAAATTATGCCAAATGTATTTTTAAACTGGATATAAAGAATTTGTTGACAAGTTTTTAATTATATATCGTTAGAGTTGTTATAAACAAACTTATAAAAAATGCAAACCTAAGATGCCAATGATTGAGATGCTGTAGAACAAAGCGTGGGTGACAACGTTGTAGATGATCGTTGTGAAATGGTTGTTGAGCTCCGTCATGTTGCTGATGTTTGTCGTGCTGTCGTTGAAGATGTAGGATGTCGTTTGGTTGTTGAAGTTGGTGTTCATGTTGTGGTCGTTGTGGTTGTCGTTAATGTGGCCAATGTGGTTGATGTCGTTGATGCTGTGGTCGATGCCGTTGACGTCGGAGAAGTTTTTGTGGATAACGCCGGCGACGCTAGAATACATTGTGTCACGTGCTTTTGTTGAAGGATGACAACGAAGATTTGTTTGAAGTGATGTCGATAGAAATTTTGTCGTTGTTGTTGTTGCTGTTACTGAAATATTGTTGTTGTTGCTGCTGCTGCTGTTACTGAAATGTTGTTTTTAAGAATAATTTTGTGAAGTCGTCAAAATGATGTCAATCTGTAACAATGTTTTAAGACATTGTAATTGATACTTTTAGATGTTTTTATTAATAATTTTGTGAATCTTTTGTTGATAGGGTGGGAAATAAAAATATATAGTTGTTTTTGTAAATGTACAAAAATTAATAATATTATTATTATTCTAAATATTTTATTCATGATTAATCTGATATATTATCCCACATGCCAAACAGTAATGGTTCATTTAGAAATATTGAAAAATTATTTTCAAATAATTTTAAGTTTCTTTTAAAATGAAAAAACTTTTTAAAACGAAATTTATTTAGGCTATTTGGCTGGCGCTGGTTTCAAAGCATCGCAAGCCCAAACGCAACAATAAACTTGGCCTATAAACCAAATTAAAAGTGATTTTTCATTAAATTAATTTCTTTTCTTAAAAATTTAATATTCGTAAATTGATGTATGGTTGTGGGATTTTTGCTGGGAGCTCTAAATATTTGAACTACTAAGACCTGATTTAACGCTGGCATCCGAGATGATGGTGACGATGATGATGACAATGATGACGATGGTAATGATAATAATGGTGGTGATGATTATGACATTGGCCTGGATTTTTTTATAACTCTTTTTATAACTTATCAATAGACAACAAATATCAATGAAAAATATAAAATCAATCTAGCTACATCTTCCAAATTGAAGTTGGATCATTCCAACTAAACGCCTTCGTACCATCAGCGTTATAAAATTTTCATCTGGTTCATATCATCTTCCTCCGTACGGTCATTTTAATGACTTCAATGTAATTATGGTCATCGGCCTATCCTCATCATCATTTTAGCCATTTGTTTTAGTGGTTTTAAACAAAATGACACCTCTTTTGAAATTGTTAATGACTAATAAATAAGTGAGAAAATGAAAAACCGGAAAATAAAACAAAGATGTTTGAGATGTCAATTGGATGATAAGACAGGTTGGCTTCATCACTGTTATTATTATTGTTGTTGTTGCTAATATTATTGTTGTTGTTGATGATGATGTTGTTGCTGCTGTTGATAATGTTGTTATTGCTGTATTATTGCTGTTGATGATGGTGATATCTTCAACATTGATATTTTTATGGCGGTTTATTTTGAAAATTCAATAACGACAAAATGAAAAAGTTACTTTCATGCAATTGCTAAACAAAAATTTTATCGCAAAAAAGCTGGCAAGTTTTAAAAATTGATCTAGAAACTGACTGATTTGATTCCAATTTTCTGGAACAAAAAAGTAAAACCCGCAAAAGTGTGGTTCCTTAATGCTGATGTTCAACTTCCCAGGCGGATAATCTTCATTGACGTTGTACGAAGTTCCGATGAACAAACATAAAATTAAATGGCATTGGTTTATTGAAATTAAGATTATTATCTCTCATTGTGTTGTGTATTTTTCAACTTAAAAATCATCAACTGAATAAACAGCGTGAGCGCACCAAACAATGGCAAGCATGAACTCAAAACAGGCTTGTGTTTATGGAAGAAGAAAGTAGAAACCTTATGTCGTTGATAACAAAATGAAAATTTCAACAGCAACCAGCAACATCAGCAGCAGCAAAAATACGCACCAATAACAACATAATGGCACGGAAGTTCAACGATAAAGAAGGTTAGCAAACTTGAGGAAATGTTGAGAAGTTTCAGAGATGTGTTGTATATGTAGGCTCTCGTACATTCATTTCTATGCCACTCTCCTAATGTTTTCAACCTTTTAGAGCGAATTTATAGACAACAATTCATTGGATGTTTGACGTGATGGCAATCTTTAGTACAACATTTGATGATTTGGCGGGCCATCAAATATGCTTGGTGGGTCGGCGGGCCATCAGATGTTTCTTTAGGAGAGGGTCTCCATGATTTAATGAACGTATAATATCAATAACATATAATTGAATTTGATACACGCATTTGATATATTTCATCCAAATACTGAAACATTTATAAAAGCCCAACTTTCGAATAAACAGAACTGTATTTAAGTTTTTTTTTTATTAGACGAAAACTGTAAAAAAATATTTTATTGTTTTATATAATACTTTAAAAATAATAGTAAAAGACCTATTAAGTGCTAGCGTTGACATTTACATTCATGGAAGTGAGTCGTTCATGTGAACCCTCAGACTGAGAAACCAACACAAACAAAATGCTGCTTTATGCTTTTCTCTATTTATTGCGCTCTTTCTATCTCTCCTTCTCTTTTTCTCTCTTTTTTCTTTCTCTCTTTTTTTCTCTCTGTGTGCGTGTGTGTGTGTGAGTGGGTGGTTGTGTCACTTGTGTCACTTTTCATATTCATACAAACGCTTACTTAGAAAAGAAGAAAATTATTAAAATATCAAGTTGTGCCAAGTCTGTTGTAATCAAAATTAACTCTTGTGCTTTTGCTTATTTGTACATTATGTTTGTGTGTTTGTATGTTTGTGGGTTTGTATGTGTATATGTTTGTATGTTTGTGAGTATGTATTTTGTATGTTTGTATATACAATACACTCACATCATTTTCTCAAGTAACAAAACACAATAATTAATATATAAACATTAATGTAATGTTATTTACCTGAGTCTATGTTTAAATATAAACATATATGTGCATATTATAAATGCTTTAAATGTGTGTGTGTCGTTGTATGATATATTAAATACAGCAGAAATAAACAAATAACACTGATAAGTCAGTTTTTATACCTCGCATAATACGCACATACACAAACAAACATTTTCATGACTACATACATCTGAGTACATACAGATACACACATAACTAATTTTTCCTAAAGTGCATACATGAGTCAAATGTTAATTTGTAGCGAAACAACCAAGAAAAAACCCAACACATATATTTGAATCGAACCAACTCGTTCGTCCTTTCTTGCATGCTTTGCTTATATGTAGACAAGCAGGCGATGCGGACGAAATGATTTATTGGCTAATTTGTCCCATAGAAATCATTATTTATTGTTTCTGCTCAATTTTTTCAATGATTTCTCTTATAAATAATCGTGACAGTGTGCCAGCAAACATTGGGAACATTTGCAATTTAACAACACCATTTAATTGTTGATGTCAGTGTCTTTTGTTCATTGCATGCTACATGTTACGTGAAACAAAAATTTGCAAATCAAGCATTGAAATCTTAAAATTTGTTTATATTTAAATTACATTTGCTGAATATTGGAAATAATTTTTTAAACAGAAAACATGGACGCAAGAGATACATAGGCATAATTTAAATGCTTGAAGAGATCTTTATGGTTAAACGTTTTGTAATATTGGTTCTACAATTCTAAATGTAGAAATTTATTACTTTTAAATAGAAAAAAATAGAAAAACTTTAACGTTTTCAAACGAGAAAATGAGATTTATAACGGGTTACTTCAGATTATCCAGATTTGGATATAAATTTGAAGAAACTTCAAAAAAGAACGGTTGGCCGGCAAGATGGCTCAGTGGTTCAAATGCAGGCTGAGTCAAACATCTCAATGACTATCATATACTCTGCGTATATGATGCGGTGCTTGCGCGTGCACAAAACACATGTGTACGTCGTGTGAAAAAGATAAACAGCCTTTGTGGCGAAGATGGCTGCTTCAAATCAATGGTTGAAGATATGAAGAACATAATAAAAGATATATAGATAATAAATCTGTAACATTGTAAGTGGTCCTGCGTATGTCAGAGCTGCAATAATAAAGACTAATAAAAAAAACAAAAAAAAACAAAGAATACCCACCCTTTGAAAGATATTTTGAATAATATCATGTACTTTCCGATAGTTCTCTAAACTTTTACAAGCTTTCAATGTCTAATTATCATGGCTTCTCAAAACAAGGTTGTAGTTTTACATAGAATGTTTATTTGAAACATAAAATTTTGCAAATTCATAACCAAAATATATTTATCTTAACAACGCTTCACGGCAGACACATAAGAAGCGAAACTCTAAAAACTTTAATGAACCTTGAAGAACATTTCAGTTTGAAAATGACATACGACGCTTTCAGCAAAACGATTTAAGTAATCAAGACGCCAGCATATGTCATCGAAATGTATCATCATAATAAATGGCAATTTAAAAATTTAATATCATCCATGATAATGTTGCTGGCGGAAATTTGTCTTCATTTAAAAATCTCCTAAGTACTTTTTGATTATTATCACTTTTTATAATTTGTATATTTAAAAAGGAAATGAATAAAAATGATCCTAAGATAGAACACGAACGAATAAAAGAAATGGAAGAATGAATCAATGAAATCGTAAAATGATTGATTGGTTTAAAATATTATATATTTATTGTGAAATCATTTGCTAGTTTCGAGTTATTATTTTCATTTTAGTTTTGGGTTTTAAACTTTTATCATGTCAAAAATTTTAAGAAAATGTTTCCTGAGAGAAGAAATAGCGGACAGGCAGTGATTAAGTCTTTCAATCTTCATTTAAAACCATTCCACACGCACTGAATGAAAAGGCTTTTAATTTATAACATTTATAACAATTTATAACGGTCACATTTATAACATTTTGCCCTCTCATATTTTAATTTGTACTTTGTCAAATGTGTTCAAATACTTCGTTTGCTACATGAAAAAGTCGTAATGTAATCTAAGTATGAGCGAGTATTAATTATTAATAATAACTTATTATTTTATAATCATCACTCATATAATGTTAACAAAATTTGATACAATAGTTTCAAATCTGAAATTGCAAACCACTCGAAAATGATTTCAATAATTTTTCAATTTTTACTTATAAATGTTAACAAAAAATTAAGTGACTTACATCTTATATCTCTAACCTCAATAACTCAATGTTTATATATTTAACTGTTAATTTTTATAATAATAATTTGTCTCATTTTGCTTTCAAACTGTGAAAATATGAAATTCGTTGTTGAAAATATTAAAGATGTCGAGGTTTTTTATTAGTCGGACATTTGTTTGTGCATGGTGAGTCATTTCATTAACGCTGCTGTAGTCATTCTGCTGGAATCATCAGTGTTTTGGTGCTAACAGTCACCAAACATTCATTTGTGAATTACTAGATCTCAAACGCAAATTTAAAAAAAGAGTAACATATGCGAAGATGTAATGGACGAAGCACCTGCCTCACACAGTCAGTCAGTCATTCGTCATTCACATGTTCATGTCTTCATTGCTATTGCTGCCTTATAAATCACATTGACATGTTCCACTGAATCACACACAGGCCTGCCTGCGACGAGGAAGTCACCAACCTCCATAAATTACATGCCTTCCAGCTCAGTCGAAGTCAGGGGGCAATTGATATTGTACACTTCAATAACTCATTGCAGGATGAATTTTAAAAATTACAAATGCATTGTGTATGTGTGTGTCTGTGTGTCTGTGTGTGTGGTGTAATGATGATTTATACTATGATTATTGCAGAGTTATTTATAATCCATAGTCATCTAGCAAAACTTTTGTTAAAATAATCGGTAGGTTATAAAATTCGTTTTATTGAAGATTTCATAGGAAGAAGAATATAAGAAACAAACTGTGGAAAAATAATTTCAAATTCGCGCGGCCTGGCCATAGATGGATGATGATGGATAAGGAAAAATTGATGAATGTGCTTAAACATAATTAAATTTTTTTTTTCAAAAATTTTTTAATAGTTTTTTTCAGATTTTGCCAAAACGAATTTAAAAATTAGTTTTTTTTAGCATTTTTGGCTTGTAATTGAAAACTATCGCACATGATGAATGAACGTTGAATTTAAACTTATCAAAATTTTTTTCAAACTAAAAAATTTGTTTCAATATTTTTTTTTCAAAAACTCACAAACTTCCTAAGATCGGATGCAATCATGAGACGTGAACATGGGTTTTCAATTTAGAATTCCAATAAAAAAAACAGCAAAAAACGAGTCCAAACAAAAAATATAATATTTTTTGTTATCGCAATTTATGCGTTTTTATTGAAACGCTTGTACGTATATCCCATTAGAGTTACATTAAAAAATGTTGAAACTGTGTATTCAAAATAAAATATTTCCCACCAATTACGAACGGTTATAATTTATTCCTAAATTATAACATGTTGACATCTACGTAAGTTTGCACTGGATGACTTGATATCTTTAAAAAGCTCATATATTTTTTTAAATCAACTCAATAATTCTTTCAAAGCAAAAACAAATTCGGGCTTCTTCTATTTGTTTTTCAATTTTTGTTTTTTATTTTAAGATAATTATATAATTATTTTATAAATTGCAATGCTTGTTAACTTTTTCAGAATCTAATTTCGTGTTGTTACATTTTATACACATTTCACTAAGTACTTTTTTGTGAACCTAATAAATTTGGCTGGTAAAAATTTTCCATCCCACCTGATACATCCAACTTGCTCTAAGCACTGCCAGAGTGCAAATTTAAATCAAACTCAAGAAAAAACACAATCAAACTAAGGCTGCATTAATTTTATAAGAAAATAACCTAAAAAATCATTTTTAAAACAGATATACACACACGTGAACGAAGAACGCGATTTTTAAAATCTGAAAAATTCCCTATTGGTTCAATGGAGTGAAATATTTTAATGAACGATACAAAACCATGTTGCTGAAAAAATTGATGATGAAATGAAGATCATGTTAGTTGCTAGTGGCATGGAATGAGGAGAAAATGACGAAGATTAAGATATAAAGGTATGACAGGAAAGGATAATTATTTTGATTTGTGAGGATGAACACAGATTGAAATATAAATTTCACATTTTTTAGTTGATAGTTCATTAAGCATGATAAATTACTTTGCAAGTTTGTTTGATTATATGCGTGGCTCACAAATAAGATACACTGACCGTCCTGACATGCATGCAAGCGTGATATTTTTAATTTTATTAACGAGTTGTCTTCTGTCCTTTTGGTTCTAGATAAAAAAATTTGTATTACGTGAAATATAAATAAACTAAAAGCAGAAAAGTTCTCAAATGATAAAAACGCCTCTAATGCATTTATCTGCGTGTTATAACGCATGCAACGCTGCTTCGACAGAATGAAACGAGAGGTTGAAGTATTAACAATTTTTAAAAGTATAAAAGAGAAGCTGTAGAACTGAACATGACTTAAAACAGGAAAGCAGAAAGTTTAATTTATGATTGGAATTTTAAGATTGTTTATAACAATTTGTTAATCACGAGCAACTGTCGTATTTTGAAGAATGAAGTTAGATTAGTGATGACAATAACCAATACTAATATATTACGTGTCCATGTTTTAAGAATTTTTTATTTTAAATAACAAATGTTCTGCGTGCGACAAAAGATATAAGTTGGTAAGGTCTTAAAATATTTTTAAGAAACAAAAATAGTTAATGACTAAAATTAAAAATCGAAGAAGAATGTGATGTCATTTGCATAATGGTCGTGACGATGCTAATAACAGTGATAATCAAAAATACAAATAGAATGAAGATGATGTTAATGACGTTGTTGTTATTGATGATGATGATGATGATGATGATGATGTGATGATGATGATGTGATGATGATGATGTGATGATGATGATGTGATGATGTGATGTGATGATGATGATGTGATGATGATGATGTGATGATGTGATGTGATGATGATGATGTGATGATGTGATGTGATGATGATTATGTGATGATGATGATGTGATGATGATGATGTGATGATGTGATGTGATGATGATGATGTGATGATGATGATGTGATGATGATGATGTGATGATGTGATGTGATGATGATGATGTGATGATGTGATGTGATGATGATGATGTGATGATGATGATGTGATGATGTGATGTGATGATGATGATGTGATGATGTGATGTGATGATGATGATGTGATGATATTAAGCTACGGTTATGAAATCGATGATGCACGTGGAAGCATGAGTTAAATCCCGCTCAATTACAATTTCTTCCACAACAACGCATGGATTAGGAACGAAAATGAAAGATTCCACGAAAATACGGACGCTGCAGTACTGTGATCTTCAAACTTTTCAACTTTTTTATTGGTGAAGTTCTCATTCTTAAACCCACCACACAGTACTGACTGAACAACATAAACAACAACTTACGATGGGTGCCGGTCAGTTGACTGTCTGCTTGGGACAGTCCCAACCATGGCAGAAGAGGGAGAGTTTGAGCCATCCATCTGACCGGCTATTTTGCATGCTTGCTAGTTGCTAGCCATCAGTTGAATAATAATACCGTAGAGTTAGACAAAAAACAGTTTCTGGCTAAAACCAGATTTTTTTATCTAGATATAAGTAACTCTTGAAACATTTTCAAAGCATTCACATTACATATTGTTTGAAAAATTTAATTTTCCATGTTGTTTTCGTTCAAAGGTCCCAAAATCTATAGACCGCTCTGGTTCTTTGAGGGAGCAAGGTTCAGACATGGCTTACTTTTACATTTGAAGGGCCAGATATGTACATCATCTTTCGATCGTTGACCGGTGAGGTGAGGTGGAATTTTTAACCTGTTCATTAGTGGCTGAAGACTTTTTTGGTTATAAGATTTGGCTGATGACTTTTTTTGGTCTTTGGTAATCTCATTTTTAATTTTTTTTCTCAAAATGTGTGAACGGCCCGCGGGTCGTAGTTCGCCCACCCCTGGTATAAGATGACCAAGCCTGTGTCTCTTGATTAAGTTCCAAATATTTACCTTGACTTTTATATGAAGATAAAATAAAAAAAACTTCATCATACAAAGATGATGACAAATTGAATTGCATTAAACGAAATATTGTTATTGATGAGTCTTGAAATGTTATTTCTTGCCTTCAAATTCTATCATACACATAAAAATCTAATTTTATATTTTCTTATGTGAAAAAATAACATTCACGTTGGCATTGCTTGGTTTATAATAATAATTGACAATTATTTTGAAATAATTGAAAATCTGGTGTTAAATCGTTTAATCTTCATAACATGTATGCATTATTCATTCTGCAATTCATCAGAACATATTTTTGTTTCGAGTGAAACATTTCGCATTGGTTGAAAAATGCAAAATATTATTTAAAAAATGTTTTCAGCAGCATTTAAAATGTCAATATTATGATTTAATAAAATTATCAAATTTTGAACGTTTCAAGTGAAATTGTATTGACAAAAGCAGACTGCAGCGTTGAAAAAGGTTGAATTTATAGATAAAAATTTAAAAATTACGACAAATTTCAGGATTTTAAATGATAATATTTTATTCACTTTCTGAAAAAAAATCAAAACTATTTGCTAAGGAAAACCTTTTCTTTTACTATATAAAAGTTTTGGCATGAAAAGATAAGATCAGGGTACATTGATTATTAAGTGGTGGGTGCCGCGAGGAAAATATTGGTGTCATTAGTGTTATTCACGTGACTGCGTGTGCATTGCACCGAAGATGTCAGTCAGGCTTGCATAGTCCTCCAAACTGAACACTATATAAAAGAAAAATGAGAGTCACGAATCATGCGCTTGTATCAAAGAATTAAATTGAACGTTCTGTCAGGCATGTTTCTATAAATGCTACATACACATATTAATTGAATCATTGTTATAATAATAACTCAATCTAGACAAACATGGAACGTACCCCGATCAAGTTCACTTCAAGTTCACCATTATGAGTCCAGTTTTCCTTGCAAAGCAACCAGTTTCCAAAACCCGGACCATGTGAAACTAGCAAAGCATTTTTACCAAGAAGAAACCACCAGTTGCCTCTATTCGTCACCCAACAATCTAAACACATACACAAACACAGATGTGTAGTCAAAACACTCAATTATGCATTCACACACGCGCACACACATATACATGCTAGTGTTGCATTTGGTTCCAAAAAAGGATATAAATGCCTACCTACACAAAAACTGTGACTTATGTATACACATGTGTGTGTGTGACTTATATATACACATGTGTGTGTATACACATGGGTGTATGTTTGTATTAACAACTTAATACGGGTGACAAATGTATGTATGTGTTTAGTGTAATAAATTACTTAATTTTTCTTAGGTATGCTAAATAATTTCATTTACCTTCGGGCATAATTGATCTCAAATAGTTGCTTTATAATAAAGAGACGTTATAAAGACCTTTCAGCAGTACAATTTGTGACCGAGGTACATTCAAATAATCTTAACGCATTACATCCGCGCCGTTGTAAATCTCATTAAAACCGTTTTTCGCCTTCATCTATAAAGATTATCTAAAAAAAATGTATCTTCCTCCTAGTTGTATGCAAAGATGAACGCGTTCTTTGATAAGAGATTCATTAAAAATCATTCCATTTGTGTTTCTCTATCGGTTTTAACATGTAGGTAAATGAATGTGTGTGCGTGTGATTGTGTATGATTATGTGTGTGTATCAACGTTTTTTGTATATGTACTATACATAAATGTATCCTTGTTTACAAGTATATACGTATCTGTCATACAGTACAAAGAAACTCCTAGAGGCCTGCATAGAAAATCACTGTCTTCCTTTTGTATTTTTTTCTAGTTTGCGGCTTGTATTAGTATGTATTGTTTCTAATGTTGATCAGGCATTCATTAGTTGACCTCCGTAGTTCTTGCTTATTTTTCAAGCGCAGGGACATCTAGGAATGTTTTGAAAAGAAATGTTTTTGTAGATTTAACACACACGCATACACGCGCACGCACACGCACACATACATACACATATCACACACATATCACACACAACACACACATATCACACCCACACATATCACACACACACATATCACATAATGTCGGCTACTCACTTATGGATCTACGTTCTCAACTTCACTTCAAGTTTCAGATTTTGTATTACTTTTCTCTGATCGAAAAAAATTTTTTATATATGCTAGAAATTAGACGCTGCAATCAGTCTATTTTTATCAGTCAATATAATTCTTTACGATCTCTTACTCAAAAGCACTTGTTTCAATTATTTGGCTGGTTTCCGTCCATTAAAACGAATGTTTCTTTATATTTCTATCACTTTTAAGTTAACATGCATTTTTCAAACAGACATAAGGCATTTTGATAAGAACTAATTCTAGCCGATCACTTTTTGGTAAAATGTAATTTGGTTTTATATTTCAGAAACATTTCATTAATGTCAAAATTTTTGCATCGTAAATTATAAAAAAAAAATTATTTTAAATAAAAGTACGTTACGTCCATTAAGATCAGTGTTGAAAATTAGCGTACAATGAAGGAAAGAAGAGTGCACGAAAACTTTTGAACTGTACATTTACTAGGATATTTAATGTAAAAAGAAATAGAAAAAGTAAATGAAAAATAATTTCTACAGAATAGTAAAAAACTAAACACGGTTCTATAACATAATTCATCAACACAGAAACAATATATCTTTTTTAAATTGTTTCTTAAAATTATTTTCAAAATAGTAGTAATTTGGAAAATAAAAACAACACAATTCTGCTAAAAGATAACATTTTTCAATTACGTTATTAATTTCATCTATTATTTGCTCAACATTTCTCTTTAGTTTCTTCGACAATTTTCTTCTTACTTGGTCTCACAAACTTTTATTATTATTATCCAAGCATTCACTTATGAAAACAAAATTATTCTTTCTGTGAGTAAAGAATAATTTTCTAGAACAAAGCGTTGACTAAAGATGTTCAGCGAGTCTAACAAGCAGTGCATTTAATTCGTTCTCGTTCTACTCAGATGCGTAGGTATTTTGAACTAAAAAATATTTTTATTTTTAGTGAAATTGGTGAGTGCAGATGTAAATATTAATGATATGTTTGATTCGCACGCACGCAGTGTTGAGAATACATCCTCTCAATTCAAAAAAATCAAACAAATTGAAATAAATATAAAACTTAAGACATATACAATCTTTTTTAGACACACAAATTAGTTTGAAACGAACGAAATGCCGCAATAAACAACAGTATGCGCGTCAGTTGAATTGATGGGATGAGAGGCTGATGGATGTCATTGCTGAAGATGCCTTCCAACTTCTTATCACCTCAATGGCACTCTTCAACTCTGATAAGCCGATCATCTGTACTGTACTTCATGGATAGGCGCTCTATAATTATATTAATCTTTCTGATTTTTATATTCCTCCTTTTCATGGTTTATATATTAGCTTTTTGTTGTTGCTAGAGTTGATGTCGTTTGTTATTTTAATGGCACCGCGTATTGGTGCCATGGTGTGTCTCGCTAAAATGGAAATATCCTGTTTGTTCAAAATTTAAATTGCAAATTGAAAAAGATTTGCTGACTCAACAACTTGAAAATAAAAATGGGGAAAGAGTTGATAAAAAAATATTGGAAACCAAAAAAGGATTTGTTAATAAAAATAAATAAATAAAAATGTGTGAACGACAAATGGAACGAACAAACTAGCACAAAGTGAACGAACGAAATCACCAAAAACGGATGAAAAAAGTGAACAAACGAAATTCAGATAATGGGATTGAGTAAGTGAATACAAGTAAACATTTATAGCTTCATGGTAAAAATAAAATTTTATTGTAAAAAAAACGAAAAAATTAACGCAGAGGAAACATCCTAGAAGAAACAATTTAAAATTTTAGTTTGTTTTATATTTATCTCAATTATTATTTTTTTTAATCAAATTGGATTTGAAAACTTTACCATCCACTATAATATAAAACTTGAACCATTTTATTTGGAAATATTTACATATTTATATTTATTTTTTATACAAAACCACAACCCATTTTAAACGTTGTGTCGTAATAATTCCATAAAAATTTGTTCAACTCCTGCGGCGTATTATTATGATCAATTTTCTTCATTTTATTTCACCATCAACTTTCACGACTCGTTTATGTACAAGACGATGTTGTTGTTTTTATCATTTTATCGTTTCATATCAAAAATTATAAACCTCAACTGCAGTTTTAAATTTTCCAATCCACAATATAGATATAACTTTACAACATAAATTTATTATCTTGCATTTGCATTACAATTTCTTTGGAAAATTTTCTTAATTAAAAAGGAAACATTTTTTTTATTTATCCAAGTCCTTAAACGTTATCAATAATGATGTTTATGGAAAATGTTTTTTCTTATCTATCCAAAACAGAACATCGTTCCTTTGAAAAAAAAATTTATTGAAGGAAAATTCATCAGCATTCATTCATTCATTCCTCGATGCATTGTTAGGTGTGGAGATATTAATTTGCAACATTATCTCAAAATGCTATATTAATTTCGTCTTTTCAATTTCTTTGAAAAATGTTTTGTGATTTTTTTTGGCGATAAATTGCAGAAAATAATAAAAACTGATAAATGTTAAATATCGGTAGAGTTATAAAAAAAATAATATAATTGAAAACTTTAAATATTATCTATGTTAAACAAAGGACAGACAAAATCAAATAAATAATCCTTTCGTTAATTATTATTTTTATTTTTATGGAAACTGGGTTTGAAATGGCAAAAAATTTAGTCGCAAATAAAGATAAATTGATTGTGTGTGAGAAAACTGCATAAAAAGTACAATTTGATTTTTTTTATTTAGTGTAAATAGCTTTATATTAATAATTTTTATGAATATAATTTTTGAAAATTGTTTCAACAGATAGATGGTTAAATAGATAGATTGTTAGATGGGTGAATGAATGGATTTGTAGGTGGATGAGTGAATGGATAGCTAAATAGATGAATGGATGGATGGTCAGATGGATGGATGGTTAGATGGATGAATGGATGGATGGTAAGATGGATGAATGGATGGATGGTTAGATGGATGAATGGATGGATGGTAAGATGGATGAATGGATGGATGGTAAGATGGATGAATGGATGGATGGTTAGATGGATGAATGGATGGATGGTAAGATGGATGAATGGATGGATGGTAAGATGGATGAATGGATGGATGGTTAGATGGATGAATGGATGGATGGTTAGATGGATGGAGGGGAAGATGGATGAATGGATGGATGGTTAGATGGATAGATAGATGAATGAATTAATGGATGGATAAGTAGATTCTAAGACGATGGGCACAGGTGGGAGGATATAAAATCATACTCACTGACCGTTAGATGATGGATGAATGGACGGAAATACAAACGAACGGAAAATTATTGGTCGGACGGATGGAGGAAAAGATGGATGGATAGATGGACAAATGAGTGGGTGGATATAAAATTGAAGGGATAAATGAGTGTATGGATGCATGGTGACTCTTGCAGTAATCTATTATTGGTCACATTGAAGCATGTTGAGAATGAAATGTAGGTAGTTAGGACGTGAAAAAGTTTGTTCAAGTCATGTTAGGGGCTTGTTTAACCTTGGAAATTTATTTGAAAATAACGACTGAGCATTTTTTTAAATATCAGGATGAAAAAATTGGAGTGTGCTAAGTTGTACAATGAAAGTGTAGTTGAGTAAGCAGTGAAATAACAAATCCAGTTTGAACGATTGCATTTAAAATAAAATATAATGACTGGTTTACTTGTATCAAATATTCTCCAAACTGCTGAAAAAATAAATTGAAAGTTGAAAGTGCTGGGGAACACCAAAAAAAGCAAAGCTCTCCAACCTGAAACTCATCAATTCATTTGAAAGCGAGGTCATCTGCAAGAGAATAATCAAAGTCAATGTAAATTTCATTATCCCTTATTGATGCTTTCAAAAGTATCTTTTGTTTTTGTTGAGCATACACACACATATCTACATAGAGAGACACACAAACGTACATATCTATCAATACACGTACATACCGGTGTATAGATACGCAATCCCACATACCTACAATACACGCACAAGCACAAAAGACAAAGGATATCAAAAGAATGAATCAGGCACGTGTACGTGGGCATGCACGCACACATACAAACATTGACGCAAAGACTTGCAGAAATGAACAATCGCAGGCATGTATTCAAAGTCACTAGTCCCATGTGTTTGTGTATGTGTGTGTTTGTTTGTTTGTGCGTGTGCGCGTGTGTAAGTTTGTCTATGCGTGTCCCGCGATTGACACTCATTTGTTTTTTTAAAATACCAAGCTCATTTGACAGAAGAAATGTCAGGCAACATTTAAATTCGTACCACATGCTTTCACGATCAATTGACATTTTTTCTTTCTCAAAAACAAAAAACTTTACCAAAGCTTACTTTACAACACCTACGTCCTACGATGCATAATATTTTTTAAACTTGAAAAGGCAAAGAATTTCAATATAAGTGTGATGTTTGTGAATTTTTCATAATATTTTCGCACTAAAATCTCCTGTTTCAAAATGTCAACTCACATCACATTCTGCTATTTAAAAATTTATACTCGTGTAAAAGGCGTGCATGATTTATTCTTACTTTTCAGCGTGCACAACTCACAATAAAACTGGGCTGTTATAAAATTTATTACAGGAAACAGATTAAAATTGAAAATAGTATTGACCTGTGACTTTTGCTGGCTTTGCATTATGGTTATGATGTCTACTTCGGTCAAAAAATTTTCATGAACAAAAGCCGAAAAAGCGTTCTCAGATTTATTGCCAAAAACTTTTTTGAAAACAATATGAAGCCAAACAATGTCATCCATTTATCCATCCATCCATTTATTAACCAATCCATCCATTTATCCATCCATCCATCCATTCATCCTTCCGTCCGTCCATCCATCCATTGGATTAACAGGAGGAGAGCGCAGTGAAATATTATAATTATACATATTCCAAATGTATTAAATAATTACGATCACCTGCAATTGGAAACAAAGCAAACATTGTAACAGCACTGCATTGTTCTACCTCAAGTAAAGCATCACATTTGATCGTAATTACGAAGAAGCGGCATAAAAAAATCAACAAAACTGCAAAACTTTGACAAACTTTAGAAACATCGTGCTAATTTGCAGGCACATTTCTTCCAATTCGATTGGGAATTTCAGCAGATCTTCAAACGTGGCATTATTTCATCATTAGTGGAGGTTTAAAAGAAATAACTAAAAAAATATTTATTTACTCTAAAAATAAAAAAGATTATTTTTATAAATCGGTTTTGAATTTTATGAAAATGCGTATAGAATTAGCAAAGTACCTTTATTAATTGTTAGCCTACAAAAAGCCTAACATCATTTGCAACCGAGTGTCGTAGCAGGATTATATAATAAATAAAGACGAGGCGAAAGGAAATTGAACAGTAAACAATCTGCAAGGTTGCAGTGTATGAACGTGAACGAACGAACGAACAGACGAACGAACGAACAAAATTGAAAACAATAACAAATAATAACCTTTGCAATATTTAAATATCTAATATGAAGATATAAACAAAAAGAAAATAATTTTTACGGAACCAAAAAATTTTTGAATTAATATTTAATGTTTGTTTAGATTGGAAGTGGCATTACCTGGTTTTGTTTAACCTTTTTCAACGGTTTCATTATCATCATTATTACTACCATCATCACCACTATCATCATCGTCATCATCATCCACATCATCCTCATCATCATCATCATCGTCAACATCATCATCATCATCTACATCATCATCACCTTCGTTACAGTCGTTATAATAAACATCATCATCATCATCATTATCATCGTCGGAATTCATTAATTTTTATTGTTATGTGTACTGTGGGGCATCGTCCAAGGACATCGTCATCATCACCATCGTCATCATCATCATCACCATCATCATCACCAGCATTATCATCGTCATCATCACCACCATCATCATCGTCATCAACATCATCACCATATCTGGCTGACCACTATTCTTATGATAATTATCAAAAGATCAAACACCATTAAATACTATTAAGAATATTATTATCTTTAATAATAATAATAATAATAATATTATTATTATCCCATCATCAAATTTAATGTCAATTTATTATTGTTAATGTCATTAGTATCATTATTTCTGTAGACAGCAATGATCGTAGGAAGGCTTTTAATATTATTAATATAGTTGATATAAAATAAAATCCAGCCCAAAAAAACTGTCTTTCATACCATCAATAAAATAATGTAATGATAATAAACTCGCTGTAATTGATGTGATATGATGTTTGCTAGACTCTCTTCATTGCCGAGAGTACTCTATCTACTGTTCTGTTAACAATCTCGACATGATATTAATGATTATTGATTGGTTTCTCTTGGTCAAGCTTTTGATTTCATCTCGAGAGTTTGGTTGATTTATTGCTTGCTCCGAAGTTCAGGGTCAACTTTTCTCCCTTCGATAATTATGACGAAGAACAAATTATCTTTGAGGGTTTTTTTTACTACTTTCTACGTTACTGGGTTGTTGTTAGTGGTAATGGATTATAGCTAAAGAAATTGAATAATTTTTGTAAAATTTTAAAGATAAGTAAATTGAAATTGAAATTTTTTTCTCGGTTAGACAGTATTTGAACCAACGAAATCAATAATGTCCCGCTTGCTTTCTTCCAATTTTTCTGTTTTGGAAATATTGTACTAAGCTTTTAAATTTAAATTTAATTATTTTATTTTTCATTTAGTCAAGAAGTTTCGATTTATTGTTTTATTGGCAAATAAATTTATTCAACTTAATTAAACTTCTTTGGCTCAATTCCGTTCATTCCACTGTTTTGAAACATTGAGAAAACACAATGCACAGATTGAAAATGCGATTTATATTTTGTTTTTGTTTGTTTGTTTGTTTGTTTGTTTGTTTGTTCTATGACGCTTTGTGTTTCACTACCATGAATCTTCAAAGTTTCAATACTTTCATGTGAAAAGTACCTCTAAAAAACATTACTTAAAAAACAATGTTATTAGGTAGGTACATGCATAATCATAAGGATTGTAGTTTGAAAAGGTCGTTCAATCAAACAAAAAAAAAGTAATGACAACAACAACAACATCAACAACAACAACAACCACGTGGCTACAGACAATGTCATCAATCGACATCATCAATCACATGATCACAAAGATAGATTGCATGAGCTAGTTACATGAATGAATGAGTGAATGACATCAAATACATGAGCCGCATGAATCACATTGCCCCACCGGGTTCGACTCATTTATCAAAATGGATTCCTTATCAGTTATTATCGCTCATTGTTTGATTGTTATCTCTACCATAAGCATCATTGCTATCATCCGTCTCATCACCGAAACCACAGTTAAGATGGCGATAAGCTTCCCTCTTCTCTATCCTACCCATCATTATCATTCTTCTTCATCATATCCATAATTTTTATTATCATCATATTCATCGTTATGACGTCACGATAATGATTCAACAATGAGATGATTTTATTTACAGTATTTTGGCCGTGATGTAATTGAAAATGATGTTAACGTCGGCAAGTTAACTCATTCAGTAGAAGTGCCAGGTCTCGATTGAATGATGATGCAAAGTGACCTAGTTCGAACGCTGCCTCTTCAAAATTTATAAACTATCAGACAACACCGTTTGCTTATGAAGCGCTGTTCACATATGCGTATGTACGCAATTATGAATTCGTAAGCAAATGACAATATGCAGACAACACGGCACTTGTAAAAACTGTAAAATGAAAAATTCAACACATTTTATATTGACAAAGAGTTATTAATGATTATGGAAACTTACAAACGAAACTGACAATTTTATAATTTTTTTAAATTTTTTCAAAAAAGTTTGTTCACGTGATTTCTGAATAATGTACATGGGAGTACTGTTAAGAAAGTTGTAGCTATGTACAAGCGATGAGCCTGCGTCGGTCCAAACATGTTTCGTATCGTTTACGTAAATTCAGCATTTGTCATTCAAAATTTCATCTCAGTGCTGGGAAGATGCTGGGCGTTCGTTCTCTTCTCTTCCAATTTTGGCTTTAACAATCAGGCGCTTCAATCATAAATTATTGTTTAATAGAAACTGCTATGTTTAATAATGCACAGTTGTCGTACATTACACAAGTATAATAAAAAATAAAATAATAAAATAAAATAAAATAATAATAAGTATAATAAAAAATAAATAAAGTACATTGGAGGAGGTTGTTGATCTACCGCCAGCCAAGCCACGACCTTGCCATGATTTGCTGTGTGTGAGGGCAGGCAGCTCACCCCTCCTGTGTGTGACAGCAGGTAGCCCGCCGCTCCCGTAATCATCGAAGTCACCGTAAATCTGCATGCTTAGCAATCTATATTAAAATAAACTGCGTCGTGAATAATGACCAGAAACAGATCATAAAATTAGCATTTAAAAAAACAACAAAAAAGAAAAAAAATTGTCAAAAACAAACTGAAAAAATAACACTTTACTATTACAAAATTCGTTACAAATACAATACCAAAAGGTAATATAACAACGTAAACATTAAAAACCTATGCTGGACAATAAGCAAACCAAAAAGCAACACCATTAGCAAAACTCACAAAAACAACAACACATTCAAATAAAACACAAGACAAAAGAGTGCAACGTATTAAAACACCTTTCTAGGCCTACAACGGTGAAATAATATCTGCCCACGATGCTTTTTTGAAAAGAGGCAATGAATTACACACAAAAAATTTAATGTTACAATGTTGACAATACACATACACACACGCACGCCAAACACACAGATACACACATACACATACACACACAATACACGTAAACCCAAACACACACAAATTGACTTATACATAATGCCTACATATGTATTGAGTTATCATCATTCCTCTTGTCATCATTGAATTTAAAAAATGGACATCTTGAGAAATTAAAAATTGTTAAAACTAGTTTGTTTTTATGAATTTTATTTGCCTGACAGTTTTCAAAGTTATTTAATTGTACATAATTTACTGAGAATTAAAAATTTACTAGCGTAAAACACAAGATTTGTGAGAGTTACGTGACACCGTTGAACTAGCAACAAAGCTTTTTGTTTCAAAAAAGTTGTCAGACATTAAGAATTTGGCATTCTTGTTGCATCCTGAAGTACATCAACAGTTACATGAACAATTTCATTATGATATGTTTCATTTCATAGATAAAAAAATTTTCAAATATAAATATATATTTAAACTTTATTTAATGTGGCTAAATAAAGAAATGTTTCAACATCAGAAGGAAGACTGCTGATGTTTACCTACTTTTGAAATAACTCCACTCGCTGAGAAACATGATGAACTCGTGTTTCAAATATTTGCTTGCAAAAAATTCAAACAGTCATTGTTTGCACTTTCCATTAAAAGCAGGCGGGTTTGAGGACATTGAGGAGACGCGTGCACGTTGGTTTGGTTCGTGCGTTTGTCCGTGTTTGCACTTGTGTCTGTGAGTGAAGTGTGCGCGAGTCATGTGTGTCTAAGTCTGTGGACGTGTTTTTGCATGGGATTATGTGGGTATGAATTTGGGTGTGTATGTATGTGTGTGTGTGCGTGTGTGTGCGTTTCTGTGTGTTTCTGTGTGTTTCTGTGTGTGTTTCTGTGAATGTTTCTCTGTGTGGCACACAAACACGTGCAAGCCTTCTGGTATGTTTGCTTTATTTTTTATGATTATTTATAGGCACGCCTATTAATTTTGTAGACTGAGTTTATGCATTTCTCTGTTTCAACGCATCTCTCTCATCTACTTGAGTGGCCATAAAATTCGCTAGTTTGCACAAATCGTTGAGTCGCAATGTTTGGTGAGAGATGTCAGGCACAACAACTCGATATGGTTTGTCCATTCAACTTTACGTTTCTATCATTTTTATAGTTCCAAAACTAGTCTGGCATTGATGTTGTTGAGTAATTACGGGCTTCATACATGGCCAACAGGCGGCTTCTAACTTAAGTAATTAACAAATAAATGCGCGGCTTTTTTTAAACATCAAACTAAAGTGTTTTCAGCTTCCAAACACTATTTTAATAAATTTGCCAGCTTGAAAATATTCTACTCAAAATATTTCCAGACATGCTCAAACATAATTTTCTGCTTGATAAATATTTCCTCAAACTCCGAATGAGGATAGGTAAGGGTGTAGTTTCAAAACGTTAAATCACGCGTCAAATCAAGATCATTAATCATTTTGGTTATTTTTGTTGAATCATAGTATTAAAATTATTCCATAACATGTGGTTTAATACAAGTTGGTTCAGCTAAGTAGTCAACTTCTTCTTTTGAGTTCAATATTTCAAAATTTTTATTTTTTCGGCTTGCGAAGTTTTTGCTCTTTTCTGGCCCGTTCAGAAAAAACGGTGGCCAGGTCTGAGATGGAGGATTGGTTGGTTGGTATCGTCATGAAACTATCAGCTCACGATTGTGTGTCCGTGCTGGAAGTATGTAACTGGCAGGCAGGCTGAGTTCTTCAATGATCTTCTCATTATTAATTACCGCATTCCGTGTGTTTTTTATCGGAATTTGTTGATTTTCTACCAGTGAAGTCAAACATTTTTTATTAGTGATGAATAAATAACATTTTCAGTTCATTTGAACATTAAAAATCAATAATTGAATACTTGTTATTTATTTTCTCAATAATTTTTAAACGCTCAAACAGCAACGTAGAAATAAATTTAATAAGGCTTCAATGATTGCCAGGCCCTCCATTGTTTCCCGGGGTTTTTTTTCAATTTTTCAACTAATTGCGTCTTTTGCACGCCGTGCCTTCGTGTCTGAACTTTTGTAGTTTGTGTAGTCGTTGGTTCTTGCTTTTGCATGTGTCTCTGTGGGTTTGTATTCGTGTGTGTGTGTGTATGTGTGTGTGGGTGTATTTGGTTGATATCGAACATGTTTATTTTAGTGATTGTCCAAGTGTGCGTGTATGTGTGTGTGTGTGTGTGTGTGCGCGCGTTTGTCTATATATTTGCTTTTGTGTATCTGTCCATGTGTGCATTTGTCTACGAACTTGTATGTTTTTTCTTCCATGTGTGTTTGTATATTTGTGTGTTTGTCCTCGATTGTATTTGTTTTTGTGTGTTTTTGTTCTTTGTGTGTGTGTGTGTGTGTGTGAGCTTGTCTATGTGAGTCTATGTGAGTCTATGTGAGTCTATGTGAGTCTATGTGAGTCTATGTGAGTCTATGTGATTGTTTGTGTCTCAATCGATAACGCGCAGTGCGTTTCTTTTGCCTCGCTTACCTGAACTATCGCTTTTTGTAATTTAATAGTGCAATTTGTAAGCTGAATGCATGAACGTGGAAATAATGCGGTCTATTGTTTGTATGTTGTTTGTATGCTATTTGTATGTTGTACTGTTTGTATGTAGTTTGTATATTTTACTGTTTTTATGCACAATGTGGTCCTGTTTGTAAATAGTTTGTATGTTGTATTGTTTGTATGTAGTTTGCATGCTGTATTGTTTGATGTAGTTTTTATGTTGTATTGTTTTTGTCAGTACGCAGTATATTATTTGTATAATTTTGCATAAATAAATTTTGTTTGTATAATTGTTTTGTGTGTAGTTTAAGCCAAATAAAACTAAGGGGTTAATTTTGTCTTTGTATTTTTTAATATTTTCACGTTCATCGCTTCCAATGATGATACTGCTAACAACCTTTAAGCTGTTGTAATTTTGTGAGTTGTTGTTTGTTGTTGCTGCTGATTTTGTTACTACTCTTTTTGTTATTGTTTTTGTTTTTGCTGTTGTTGTTTTTGCTGTTGTTGTTTTTGCTGTTGTTGTTGTAACTGTTGTAGTAGTTGCTTATAGGCCACCCAGCCTTCCAAATATCGATCCCACCAGCTTTGCCCCTTCCATTGGCCTTTCCGTGAGTTTACCAAATCTCTCCACCTAACCACATGTGTGTCTCTCCACTCCAGTCCTAAGCGTGATAATGTTTCGACTCTCTCTCCCTCAGCCAGCATCTTTTTGTTCACCTCCCTATGACCTACTGTTTTGTCATTTATCCTTATATTTTCCCCATCGTCATTCTTCCCATTCCATCATGCCAACCATGACCATGCTGTCTGTTAGCGTGATCGCTTCCTTCCACTCGTTATAACTATCAAGCCACTCCAATGCTATTTCTAATCCAATAGAAATAGAAATGTTGCTGTTGTTGTTTGTGTTGCTGTTTTGTGGTTTTCGTTGTTGCTGTTGTTGTTTCATTAGTTGTTGCAAATTGTGTTGTTTGCGGTACGTTGCAGTTTATAGTTGCGCGATGTTCCATATTGTTATGTACGAACAGCGCCGTGGAAACAAAAAATAAAAAAATAAAACTTCTTTTTCAATTGTCCGGCATGCTTTCTTTCCACCAGCGTCTGCCAGTCTTTGAGTCTCTATGAGGAATGTTTCAATGGTCTCTTCCATGACAATCGTGCATACATTGGTGTCTGTTCCTTTGAAGAACCTGCCAGCCGTAAACTTTATGCCATCTACGTGCTCCCGACTAATTCAATTCAATATGTATAGATCGCGATGAACTGAAAATATTTCAGCCTAGTGTTTTGTTTACCTTGTAATTTGAATCAATAATTTTAGAATGATGTAATAAAATTATGTATCTGTTTTTGGTTACTTTGAAATGCTACATCGTACATGCACATACCTGCAATTGTTTTTCACCGAACAAATTATTTTTTTAATTCCAAAAGAACAAAAATTATTTTATTAAATGAAATAATAATAGGGCCAGTTATGTTACCATTAACTTTTCATTGTGGAAGTTCCATGAGAATTTCATGCCGGCAGAATTGGGTTTTTAAGTGCTAATTGGTTGAACGAACGATTTCAAATCATACGCGAATCATTGGGCATAAATATTTAATGTACTTGTCTAATCTATGCACTTGATGCTATTTTACCGCATCACACAAGCATTTAAATAAAATTAAATGTTCTTTTTTTTATATTTAAAAAAATTCACACAAAATCAAGTCAATCTTCAAGTAATGGAAATAATGAGAAAAATAATCTGACAGAACATTTTGCACCAATTAACAACATTTATTCCTTTATATTATTTGAAATACAACTACTTTAAATGAGTTAGCGCAATTTCTAATTGAGTAAATCGGACAACCTATCAAATTTCACTAATTGAAAAAAATATAAATGTTCTCAGCTTTGTTGTTAATAACAAAAATTTTTCCATTCGTAATATGACAAATATGAAATAAAACTCATCCGGATGAAATAAATCAAATTTGTCGCGTACGAAAATATAAATATTTGTTTTTTAATTTATGGAATAAGCGCACACAAAACAAATATACCAAAGCACACAAACACACATACACACAAACACACACAAACACACACAAACACACACACAAACACACACATACAGTGGTGGATTCAGGGGAGACCTAACCACTAAACAGTCCAGAGCCATTCTGTTGGAATTTTTTGCTATTTAGCCAGCAGCATGTATAATGTTTAATTACTTTTTATGAATTAATAATACAGAATTTCTATACCTGAAAACCCGTTTTATGTTGGAATTTTTGACAAAAATTTGACACGAAAATAAACGAGGAGTAAAAAAAAGTCTGCTAAGTCGGCCGGTTTCTGACCTCTCCTTCCAAACTTCGATCCCTTCCATCAAACTTTAACCTTCTCTTTGTCATGCACACACAAAAAGTTGTCATAATACCTCCTGACGAACTAAAAAATTACTATCAGAAAAGTAAAAAATGCATGTTGACTAACACGCAATGTACTAGACAGAAAAAACAGTGCACGAACACACACACACTCACACAAAACACAAACACATAAACACATACACACGTACATAAACATGATGATAGGCAAAACAAAAAAAAGAGAGAAAAACGAATGAATAATAACAATAATTCTTCTCCAACTTTTTCTTGTCTTTTCGCATCAGTTCGTTCTTTTTTGTCAATTTGTCTTCAGTCGGCATTTGTTTTAAGAATTCCTAAGTGCATGATTTTCTGCTCACTTACATTTTTCACCTTCCTTCTCCTCTAAGAATATTTTTCACATATTTTGTGAAAAAACATTCTAACGAAATTATTCATCGTGTGTATTTTTCAAAAATATATTTTGTATTTATACACTTAATTTTCTAGAGTCTAATAAGAAATTTCACCATCATCGTCGTTATCAGTGTCGGCATCTTCATCATTGTCTTCATCACCACCATCATCATTTTCAAGAAAGTCTCCCTCGTGATCGTTATTCGTTTATGGCTTTTGGGAAAGTTTTCAAGGCAGTTTGTCGGGTTAATGAGAAGCATCATCGGTGGGCAGCCAGGGATAAAGATGATCATGTGGTGTGTGGCGATGATGGGGTGGTGGTCGTCGTCGTAGTAAGGTGTGTAGGGATGATGTGGTCGTAATTTTATGGTGGCGACGATAAAGTCATGGCGTGATTGTTATCAGGATGACCAAAAAATTATGATCAAAAAAATGATGACCAAAAAAATTATGACCAAAACAATGATGACCAAAAAAACTTTCAAATTAACTAATGAAGATGAAAATTTTAATTTCTAAAAACAATGTCGTTCAAGTTCGATTTAATTCAATTTAAATAATAAATTTTTATAAAATATATTGTAAAAATATAATAGCGGTGCAACTCTTTAATTAAGAAGTAAATTTTAAGACTGCGTTTTAACTGCAATAAATTTTTGAAGAAAAAAAATTAAGCCGGATCGAAAGATTATTTGGAAACATTTTAAAATATTGCTAGTGGTAGTGTAGTCCGTGGTGGTAGTGGTTGTGTTGTTGGTGGTACTGGTAGTGGTACTGGTGGTGGTGGTGGTGGTGGTGGTGGTACTGGTGGTGGTAGTAGTACTGGTGGCGGTGGTGGTCGTGTTAGGAGATTCAAAATAAAAATTTATGGCCTCAAATTTTCTAAAATGTCATGCCTTTTTTTGGACAACGCACCCACAACGCAGTTATAAATAATGTCCGAAAGACAGCAGGCACGTTTACACGCACACGCCGAACTTTCGCACGATCAAAGAAGACGAATAAAACACACGTAGAGTGTAATTGAAGCAAATAGCACACACAAAAACTAAATTCACGCTTATGGTGAATCAATTATGCGTGCGTTACGTTACGCAGTCGTCATGCCGCAATTTGTCTTTCATAATTCTTTCTTTTTATTTTGTTAAATAAATTATATTTTATATTTTTAAAAACGGAAAATGTGAAATATATTATTTTAAAATTATATCGATAATTGAAAAAATTTTTTTTAAATAAATAATAATTGGGTTATTTTCTTTGTTAACAATAAAAAAATGTATTAGCACGGCGAGTCAAGCGGAGAGAGCGAAAAAGAACATTCATTTGTAACGTCTTACAACATCAACCCTGACAAATTAACTTGCTTAAAAGCTTGAGCAACCAACATTTATGCTGTTGTTGTTGCTGTTGTTAGTGTTGTTTTTGTTGATGATGTTGTTTTTGTTATTGTTGTTGTTGTACTGGTTCATATACATCCTTTGTTGCTTTCCAACCAGTGAAAAACATCGTTTAACATTTTTACAGCACTGGTAGGCTCAGTGATCAACTCTTACAGAAACCATATCATATATATATATATATATACATACATATATATTTATACCATACCATTTAGGCCATATTTTTTCCTGAAACCATCTATCTTTTTCATCTTGTCCAAATGTGTTCCATCTCTTCCATCTTCATGCAACATAGTCTGCATACCGCCTCATCATCAACACCAACTCGGTTCTGCTAGCTTTTCAGTTCAAGGTGATATCCTGTGCCGAAGCGGCTAAGATTAGTACGGCCTATTTTGCTAGAGGTTTCTTTCACTTTTAGTAGTGGTTGTACCTCTTTGGTGAGGAAATTTTCTCAGTTCACATAGTTCTTCTGACCCCAAATTCTTTCATCATCTCCCAGTTTACAACTCTGCCAGTTATAGCTTTTCAGGTATTTTTAGTTTTCTATCGGCTTTTTGTTGCCTCCGACAGGACAGTGACTGGGCATGGGCATTACTATTACCTCTTTCGTTTTCAATTTATCTATTAACTTATTTATTTATTTGCATAAGCTTTTGATTTTGGCTGTCATTTTGTGCAAAAAATTGATAATTCTTCTTTTGTCTGTTAGAATCGTGGCTTTATTTTCTATTCTTTCATTTTCTTAATATAGCTTTCATCACAGCCAGTATTCTGCGTCATGACTGCCACACAATTTGCCTGCACCGACTCCTTACTAAACAATCCTGATCCTCTTATTTTTGTTGCCGGATCGACCGAGCCATCCACATACATCTGCAGGTCGGAGTTTGATGCCTCATCAAGGTTTCTCTCACATCATCCTAAAGTTTCATTACCGTACAATTTCTCCCTCGCTTCTTTAAATTACATCAACAGTTGATTCGTAATCCAAAGCCGTTGATACTCTATTACCTTCTGCTATATTTCGTATGTTGGCTGTTTAAGTTGCAATTTCTGCAACCTCCCCACGGTGCAGCTGGGGGCCTCGTGCTTCGAATGGAGAAAAAAAGGTTTACACCAAACACACATGTTGTTGCTGTTGTTGTTGCTGCTGTTGTTGGTTGTAATGGTGGTTGTGGTGGTGGCGGTGGAAGTGGCGACGCGTTGGCAATTGCAATAGTGTTGTTATTTTATTTAGTTTTTTATGTTTTTTATTTTTGGTTTATATTGATCCTAGGCTAGAGAAAAGACGGAAGGGAAAAATGAAAAGGATGGCGAAGATGAAGATGATGAGGAACTTTGAAGATGATGCGCTGTGGAAAAAATTGATGAATGAGTCTGGAAGTGAGATGAAAGAAGAAAAAATAACGTAGAATGGATGAGAAATTTGTGAAAGAATAACTGGAGGAGGAAAACGCGATATTAATGTGATAAAAAATGCATGAGAGGATTTTAACTAGGGGTTGGAGTCAATTATAAAGATGATGACGTTGATGATGATGCAGTTGTTGATGGTCATGTTGTTGTTCATGATGATGATGTTGTTGATGACGATGATAATGATGAAGATGATGTTGATGATGATGGCGACGATGTTTATAATGACGACGGTGATGATGATTATGATGATAATGAATATAATATCAGAAAGTCAGAAAGCATTGAATCAAAAAATCCTGCTCTTCCCATAATATTTTCGTTAAGTGGTGCCCAACAAAAGATAAAGTAAGAAAAATGAAAACACGTAGAAAACACACACATGACATTTCTGATGAAGCATACATACGTCATGCTTACGTCACTAATATTGTCTACGTCACACGTGGATTGGTCTTGATTTGTAGTCCACTTAACAACAGATGTCACTATCCTATGTGTACGTGTCTATATGTGTGTATGCGTGTGTGTGTGTGTGTGTGTGTGTGTGTGTGTGTGTGTGTGTGTGTGTGGTGTGTGTGTGTGAAAGTTGGTGGGTGTTGTATTATTTATTATATATATATATATATACATATATATATACATATATATATATATACATTTGACATTTTTTATTTCATCAAATCAAAAGAGAGAAATCAAAGAAATGGTATCAATGAAAAGAAATGATCTGGAAATCGAAAAGAAAATATGGTTTTCTTGTAATGAGAGCTGTAATTTAAATTGTAAAAATGAGAGCATATTTTAAACATTTTAGTTCATGTAAACTCACATTCATATTACAAACCCTAAAAAACCAAAAATGAAATCATAATTATTAAGTAATCCACTCTTTTACATTTTTATCAGAATGTCGT